AGTACAACAGTCTTAGAATCCTTCTAGGGTAACAGTACATGCAAACTCTACCAGCCTATCAGAATTCCAATGCAAGATGAAATCATCTAGGTTTAACCTCTGATGTAGTTCTTAGGGTGATAGGAAACTTTAGTCTGTAAACTATAAATATTCTAGTCTTACTAAGTTTTCACCTCTAACACTAATGATGTATTCCAAGAACAGGAGGCATACTTTTGGCAGGCAAACAGTTTCTTCCTTGTCTCCTAGGCCACCTCTTCCCTTATCTTTATGCCGTATCCCCACATTCATCAAGGCTTTGGGATATTCTCTCATAAGAGGATACCTAATGTTCTAATCCCTTATTGAGTTCTGATTCCATGGATATGGTGGCAGAATTCTGAAATGATCCCACAACCCTGTCCCCTTACGTTCACACTCTTTACTCCCATGATTAAGTTACATGCTATGACAAAGATGAAGGGATTTAGATATGATTAAAGTCCCAAATTAGTTGATTTTGAGTTAATCACAGGGAAGATTATCATGGGTGTGTCTGACCTAATCACGTAAATTTTTAAATGGCTGGGCCCTTCCTGAAGGAAGAAATAAAAATTCTCCTGTTGGTCTTGAAGGATCAAACAGCAATGTTATAAAATGACCATGGAGACTGTGTAAAGACCCTGTGAGCAACTTCTAGCAGCTAAGAGCCATCTTTGGCCAATAGCTAGCTAGAAAATAACTTCAGTCATACAGCCACAAGAAAACAATTTATTCTAACAACATGGGAGAAGTTGGAAGTGTGTATTTGTCTGGATGAGCCTCCAAAGGGGCATGTTAGTGACCAACATCTTGTTTTGTCCTTGTGGGAACCCAGTTAAAACATGAAGGGCTCCAGACCCACAGAACCTATGAGATAATGAATTTATTCCATAAGCCCCTAAGTTCGTGGTAACTTATTACATAGTAATAGAAAATAAGTGTACCAGGCCAGATGTAAACCAGGACACAGAATTGTCTACTTGGTCCTTTCTGCTTTCTCTCAAAATTAGAAAGCAAATCTTTTTTATTTTGAGAGTCTTATTAGTTTCTTTTATCTATAGGAAAATGAGTATAGCATAATAATAATAGCAAAACAGTGGTATCAAGGGAATTAAATTATAAAACATCATATGTCATAATAATTATTTCTAGGGCATATGAAAACTAAAGAGACAAGATCAGTCTTCCCTTTCTTTTTCACTCTCATAGGGGAAAGCCTGCATTAGATGCTTGTCTAAAAAGAGGATGGGTGTGGTTTCTCGCTTAGGAAATACCCAGTGGTGATGTAGGGTGAACCTTATTTTAGAAGGACTCTTAACAGTCCCCAGGCCCTCCTTCATGAATTCTCTTACATTCAAGTGTTAAAGCTACTTACTCTTCCTGTTACTCCACTCCCTGCTTCTTTGTCTATGGATACCTCATCTCTCTCATGAAAGGAGGCAGCTTTCTTCAAGGCATTTAGTAGGAAACAGACATTATTTATTATTTAAATGTTGAACACTTCCAGTCTGCATTATCATTGTGCCATTGCTTAGGGCAGTTAAATACACCACAGATAACTATTTATCATTTCTTTTACAATGAATTAAATGGATCCCCTCTGTCTTTTGGACTCTTGTTTCTATTTGGAACTTTCATTAATTTATTCTGAAAATGAAAAATAATGATATAAATATTTTACCTACGGGCCAGCAGGTGGCATGGTAGTTAAAGTGCTGGCCTCCCACTTGGCTGACCACTGTTTGAGTCCAGGATGTGGCAGCATGAAAATTACTGGAGAATAGAGGAAAAAGTTTTACGAGGCTATCTGACCTGCGGGGTAGTTTCTTCCTTTCCCTCTCACTGTCTTTGTCTTTCTCCAGCTAGCACACATGCCCTATGGCACAAATCTGTTAAAAAAAAAAAGATACTTATTTCAAAAGGTCCCCCTCCCCCGCCCCGCTATAGGGCGCCTGCGCTCACCAGACAGAGAGAGACATAGAGACCCCAGGGGGTCTGGCCACGCCAGAATCCCTTCTCTTCCATTCTCCTCACGGGATCTTGGGCACGCATGCATACGCGCCCGGCGTGAGTTTCAAGCCACCGGGTCTGGGACGTGAACTGCGGTTGACTACGTGGGAGTCCAGCGACATAGCCATTATGCTAACTACTGGTTCCTTCAAAAGGTTTTTGTGAGGATTCTTAGCACTGCAAAACACATAGTTACTATTATCTATCATATGCCTGACCCTGTACAGGATCTTATGTCACAATAGAGACTCTCAGATTAAACCTCACAGTGGTTCCTGATCATTCAGGGGTGGGTGGGGCTTAGAAGCTAGAGTATCAATTGGGGTCCCAAGTTTACTGAGACTACACAACTAAACTCTATCAAGAGGAATTTAGTCCAGAGACGTAGTTGAGATCATGGTGAGTAGTTAAGAAAAGTCTTTATTTTAGGATTCTTTTTCTATTTTAAGGGGCAAGGAAAAAAGATAATTGAGTGGATGGTTATAAAATTTCAGAATCTGGAATGTTTGCTCTTAGAGTTCCTGTGGGTTTTGAAGAAAATAGGGTGTGGGCATTGGGTCCTAAAAGTATGCCAAATTAGAATTATGGATCCCAGCAAAGTTTGTTTTCCTTCTGGGCATATACAAGGGCCTATCTAAATCATTAAGTTGCCAATTTTGTATATGTATGGTTGTGCCCACACACATGCTTGCATACATACCATAAAAAGAGGCAGCTTGGGACCAGCAGATGGTGAAATGGTTACACTAAACTCCCACGTAGTAGACCTTGATTCGAGTCTGAGGCCCAGTCACTTAAAACTCAGGCTGGGTGTGTGTGTGTGTGTGTTTGTGCGTGCTTGCATGCTCAAAATCCTGAGAGGAGAATGGAGGAGACGGTATTGCTGTGTTGCCATTCCCATGGAGTGATGATTTCTCACTTTCTATCTCTCTGTGACTCTCCAGTGAACACATGCACCCTATAGCAAAAATCTCTAAAAATAAAATTGAAAAAAGGCAATTCAGCTAACCTTGGGACTTTGATATTCTTCAAGCATTCATATATAATGTTTGTTCCTGCATCCTTGCTAATCGGTTCACAATTTAAGGTAAGCTCAACAAGGGCTGCCTTACATACTTCTGGAGTTTCAGTTTTTCTGTTGTTTGGCCTCTGTAATCTTTGTGTTTTATATTTTTAGCCCTTTAAAAAATGTCATCCTTTTCCCAGGGTTGTTCTGATCACTGGGTCAGAAGCATCAGAGTTCCTGTCGTCGGTTGTGGTTCAGCTATGCTAGTACCAGAGGTATAAGAATATCATAATCCCAGAGTGATATAAAGACCTTTCCAAAGAAGATGAGATAGCTAGAGGCTGTAAAGGAAAAGTCTGAAGGATTTGACCATGTTAAAATGAAAAGCTTACTTTCAGAAAAACACCAGAAACAAATTCAAAAGATAAAATACACACTGGAGAAACCTATTCTCTCAACACATCTGACAGATCACAAAGTGCAACTAGAGTCCAACATAAAAAAAATGAGCAAGATGGTAAGAAAATGGGCAAGGCGTGCTAAAAGCCAACTACAGACGAAGAAATAGGAATGATCTATTAATCAACAAAAGGCTATTTATTCTTAATAGTGAAGATAGAAACATAGTAAATATGAAAACATATTAAGCATTAAAATGAACAGTTTGGTCATCAGTAGAAATGTTGGCAAGAGAGTTGGGTAATTGGCATGTTCCTGGCAAATGATAAGCATTCCAGAAACTTTGAATGAATCCACTGTGTGTATCCACTGGGAATAATAAACAGTTGTATTGGCTTAACCAATGCTCGAGCTTGTGGTTCAGAATTTGAACAGTGGTCCAACAAAGTAGAGATGCCCCGTGCTCATGGACCCCACCGCTTAACCAAATTCAAGCAAAGAAGAAAGACTCCTCTTGGCAACTCATTCTAATAAACCACTTATTTGATAGTCTTCTTTCTAGTGTTGATTCAGTTAAAGTCTGAAGCTGATGTTTTTCCCTTTTGTATTTCTTTTTTCTGACTCAATACCTTTTCCTGCCTAGACTTTTTTTCTTTTTCCTTGAAGCTTATAACCAAGTTATGTCTTAGTATTTTCCCAGGATATGGGCAGTTCTTTCTAGCTTCAATCATGTCTTTCTTTCCTGTAATTCAGGATTAAAGAAAATTAAAATTACGTTTTTGTCCCCCTTCTTTTTTTTGAGAGGTTTTTGCTATAGGGAGCGTGCTCTCGCCAGACAGACAGAGAGAGGCAGAGAGATAGAAAGCAAGAAATCACCCTCCAGGGGGGATGTCCATGCCACAGTCCCTTCTCCTCCATTCTCCTCTCGGGATCTTGGGCATGCACGCACACGTGCCCGGTGTGAGTTTAAGCTTCCGGGTCCGGGACTTGAACCTCCGTTGACTACATGGGAGTCCAGCGACATAGCCATTACACTAACTGCTGGTCCCCAAAATTACGGTATTTTAATTTCTCTTTTCTGTCCTTCCTGTTTCATAAGCTACACTTGCTGTGTATGTTGTATCTCTTTCTGTTATTATACAATGGATCTCTTTTTTATTATGCCATGTGTATAATTGCTATTTTGTGTTAGGGAATTTTGTCTCTCTAGGGAATGCTTGGCAATGTCTAGAGATATGCTAGTGGCAACTAATGGGCAGAGTTCAGGAATGCTGCTAAATATGCATAGAATAGCTACTGTCACAACAAAGAATTATCCAGTCTACAATGTCAGTTGTGCAGAGTCAAAAACCTCTGCCCTGGGTCAAGGCTAAATCTTGATAAGTCTATACTTTGAAATGATTTCCAATGATTGTAGAAGACACCTAGAACTTCCATAAGAACAATATGTAGATTTTTGCACCCGTGGATAATGTTTTTTGATTCTAATGCAAATGCTAGGTACATCTTGAGAGCATGTATGAATATTTAAGGCATAAAATCAAAGAGCTGTCCTTATGTACCTAACTTCTAATTTTAAATATCTTAACAAACCTTGATTATCTGATAAGTTCAGGGTTTGTGGTATTCGTGTGGGTTACTTTTTGAAGTTAATGAAAGGTAAACTCAAAATACTTTTGTTTAAAACATTGTTTTTTTAAAAAAAGATGGCATTTTCTGACAGAGGCTCTTGAAATGTCTCTGAATCATGAAATAAGTTGAAAAAGCTATTTAAGTATTGTATAAATAAGGGAAGTATTATTCATAATTTCTTCTAGATATGAGATTGGGCTAAAATGAACTGAACAGAATATTTCTTTCTAAGTGTGTTTTTTTATAAAAAAAAAATAAAGGAAGTCAACATGTAGCAATATTGAGTTCTAGTTAATCAACATTTGATTGAAATTTAATTTGGCACTTTAATCACATGTGTACTTTACCCTTATCAGGATAGAGAAATTCCTCAAAACTAATGAACTGACCCATGCTCACTTTAATCTCTTTTTTCCATAAATATACATATTTGAGCACTTGCTGTTCTAATTGCTTGCAAATTCATTTGCATGATTCCCTTCAATATTTCATAGAACTTACAAAATTAATTACTTGATCGCTATAAGAATAAGCATCCTGTCTCCTCCCTTTCTGTATTAAGGCTAATTTAAAGGGAGGAATTTAATTCAATAGAATCTCATTGTTTACTCAAATTACACATGCATAATGAGATCTCAGTAGGAAAGGATGCTGAATGACACCTTTGAGACTCAATCAGTACCTTGGGGCAAAAATATTATAGTCTAACCATGCAGTCATTAAGACTTCCCACATTATAGCCTTTCAATGGTCAAACGTGTAGTTTCTAGGGATCCTCTCAATTCTAAAATGCTAAAAAGCAGCTTCAGAGGAGGATGGACAAAAACTTTAGGGAGCAAAAGCCTTCATTATCACCATTACTGCAGTGGGTTATCTGGGTTTCAGGATTTTCAAAACTTGTTGCTACTCTATACTTAATAAGTTTGAAAAATTATCCTCTCGTTTATTTTCCTTTTCTATGAACATTTCTTCACTTGATCTTAGCCAAAAGACTGAGAAATGATAGGACCATTTCCTGATATTTCACAATATCCTTTATATGAAGAGTTGAAATAAAGCACTAAGATGAAAAGGTATAGATACTATCTGGAGCAAGTTTTGGATACCATTTTCTCGTCTCTGTTTTATTCTCTTTCTGTTTCTCAGTAGTTCTATGAATTAACCAGAATAATCTTGAATGTAGTTTATACATTCCCTCGGAGATTTAAATTTATTTAAAAACTTTTCATTTATGGGCAGTTAATTCAGAGATGGCTTCACTCATGCCCTGTTTAGATGTCACAAGTCTTAGCTGTTATTCAAGGTTGGTTGAACCATGTCAATTTGCTTACTGCTAGCCACATTTAAAAAGAATTTAAGTTGGCTTACAAAGATGTAAAATTAAAACTATGCCCTATTCATGTTTGACTGCTCCATGCAAACCTGATGACAATCAAAATACCAGCTAGTACAAAGAATCTTCTGGTCATTACTGGGGACAGTTGCATCGAAGGCCACGTAATCAACAAATAATTTGTTGTCTCTATTGTGGCCTCAGCATTGAGGTGAACACTGTGCCAACACTGAAACATTATTTGTTGGACTTTATCATCTCCAATAACATTTCCCCTGTTTAGGCTCAGATCTCCAGGAAATACATCTATCTAAAACATAGTCAAGCAAGAGACATGAATTAAATCTATGATCAGCTCACATAATACAATAGTACTTCTGGCCCTGACTGGAGACCTGCTTACTCATACTTTGTTTATACATGTAACAATCATGATTTTCTGATTGCCAAGCTCATAGCACGTTAAGAGTAGTGAGTTGAAAGGTGATAATTTCTCCCGGAGGCACATTGATAGTTGAAAGCCTCTGGCAGTTAAGTGTGCAGAAATTTAAAAAATAGATAAAAGGCAAAAGTTCCAGAGTACGAGGGCATTGAATATAGGGGCACCAATAATAAGACCTAATGCAATAATGAGTTGCAAATAAATACTTGACACTGTTTTAAAAGACAGGGATAGACCCAGCTGTGGGGACACGTTTAAGAGAGAGAATCTGAGGTGTGGGGACATGCTCTGAGCAAACACCACCTGTCCTTTTGGGGTTTGGCAGAACCTTGTAACTTGTCTTTCCCTGACCTTGGCTGCAGATGGAGCAAGGGTGGAAATTACTAGGGGCGTTCCAACAGACACATCTGATGGACTTCAAGAAACATCTTGGCCCCGATTAGTAAAGTCCAATCCCTGCTCTGCATCTGAAAGGTTCTTTAGCCTTCTCTGGGTGTAGTGGTACACTCCTTATAGAGAAGTTCTTTAGCTCCTTCCCCACACTTAACAGCTAGTTCTCTGCATTGGAAAAGAAGATGAGATTTTTC